CAGCCCCGGGCCCCCCCCCCCCCCCAAGCCGGTTGACCCCAATTATTTTGCAATGCTCCCTTTTTCCCGCCGTCCTCCCGTCCCCCAGCTCCTCTGCGTCTTGCCGTCTTGACTCGGGCGTGGGGCATTTTGGGCCACCCGGTGTGCGCCATTGCTCAGACCAGCCACCGACCCTCGCAATTTTATGATCGTCACCATTGTAAGATAAAGCTTACAGCAGCACAAGAGAACAATCCGTGAATGATCAAACAGGCAAGCAGTGGGCTGGAAGGAGCAAAGGGTCTGATCAGCCAAGATATCACACACAACACCCTTCCACCAGAATACCATCATTTGGATGGGGCAGGCCGTAAGGTGGCCGCCGCTAGGGCGCCGGCCCCACGCCGCCGGCCTGCGCGTGCACGAGGCGCGCCACCGCCGCCGCCAGCTCATCCGCCGCCGCCTGGCTCTCCGCCTCGGCATACACCCGCACCACATCCTCTGTGCCCGAGGGGCGCACAAAGGAGCGGCCGCTGGGCACCCCCGCCACCGCGCCATCGATGGCAGCCTGCAGGCCGGCGGGCTGCGCCACCCGCGTCTCTGCATCCGTGGTCTGAAGACCGCTGCGGTCTGCCACGCTGACCTTGAGCTGGCGGGAGGGCAGGTCTGCGTACAGCGCCGCCCAGCGGTCCAGGCCCCAGCCCTTGCGCCTCAGCGCCGCCTCCACCAGCAGGATGCCGCTCAGCGCGTCGCCCACTGCCTGGTTGATGACCACGCTGAGCGCCAGCAGGTCGGCGGCGGCGCGGCTCTGCCCCGCCAGCTGCGGACGGGGGCGGCGAGGTGGCAGGGGCGGGGGCGCGTGTCGGCAGGCAGTGAGGGCGGCGTGGCAAGCAAATCAACACGCATGCATGCCGCTGCTGTCCCTCAGCCGCCACAGCCCCCTCCTCCCGCCGCCTGCCCCGTGACCCCTGCCTGGCCTCTCTCCCCACCTGCTCCAGCCGTGCCAGCAGCGGCTTGCTGAACAGCACCGTGCCGTGTCCGTTGGCCTCAAAGTAGACGCCAATGTCGTAGTGGTGGGCGGCCTCGTGCAGATACTTGACGCCGGTGGGGGTCACCTGGGGGCCAGAGAGCGGCAGGGAGTGTGTGTGGGTGTGTGGTGGGGGAGGGGCCCAGGCCAGGCAGGCGGCGGTGCAGGCAGAGCGCGCACGTGTGGGGCACGGTGCAGCCAGCCGGTGCAAGACAGGGGCGCCAAGCGGTGCCGGGCTGCGCTGCCTGCCCGTGCCTGTGCTGCCTTGCTTCGCTCACCACCCCACCACCCCACCACCCCAAGCCACCACCCACCCACCTCCACATCGCAGCCCAGGTCGTACCGGATGTAGCGGC